TGCTTTATGGCCTAATATGTGGTCTATTCTGGAGAAAGTTCCACGTGCGTTGGAAAAAAAGTATACTTGGCTGCTGTTGGGTGGAGTGCTCGGTATATGTCCACGAGATGAAGTTGGTTGATTGCAGCATTTAGGTCTTTCATATGTTTACTGAGTTTCTTTCTGGGTGTTCTGTCCTTCACTGAAACTGGTGTGTTGAAGTCTCCTACTACTATTGTGGAGCTGTCTATCTCTCTTTTCAGTGCCGTTAGAGTTTATGTATTTTGGAGCCCTGTTGTTTGGTGCATAAAATATTTATTATAGTTATGTCCTCCTGGTGTATTGATCATTTAATCATTATATAGTGTCCTTCCTTATCCTTTGTGGTGGATTTTACTTTCAAGACTATTTTGTCAGAGATTAATATTGCCACTCCTGCTCTTTTCTGAGTGTGTTTACCTGATATAGTTTTTTCCATCCTTTGAGTTTTAGTTTGTTTGTGTCTTTAAGTCTAAGCTGTGTCTATTGTAGGCAGCATATAGACAGATCCTGTTTCTTTATCCATTCTGCCACTCTCTGTCTCTTTATTGGTGTATTTGTTACATTTACATTCAGCATAATTATTGATAGGTATGAGTTTAGTACTGTCATTTTGATGTCTTTTTTTCTGTGTTGTTGACAGTTCCTTTGTTCCACTTAATTTTCTGTGCTGAGTTGTTTTTGTTTATGTATTTTCTTTTCATCTTTTTCATTGTTGTTGATTTTGTATTTGCTGAGTCTTCATATTTTTCTTGTTTTTTATTTTGATGTGCAGGATTGTTAGTTTCCTTTATGGTTACCTCAATATTTACTCCTGTTTTTCTAAGTTTACACTAGTCTTTTATATCTTTATGACTTTCTCTCCATATGAAAAATCTTTGTCTATATTTTTAGTCCCTCTTTTTTGTTTTAATGTTGCCATCTTTTAGATATTGACATCTCTCTTTCCCTATTTTCAGCGTTTTAAGCTTTGATTTATTTTTGTGACTTCTCTATCTGGCTTGGTGCTCTGGTAGCTCTGTCCTGTGTTCTAGTCTTGGGTTGTGATCTGATGTTATTGATTTTCTAACCAGAGGACTCCCTTTAGTATTTCTTGTAATTTTGGTTTGGTTTTTGCAAATTCCCTAAACTTCTGTTCATCTAGAAATGCCCTAACTTTGCAATCATATTTGAGAGACAGTTTTGCTAGATATATAATTCTTGGCTGGCAATTTTTTTCCTTCGAGGATTTATATATGTCATCCCATTGTCTTTTTGCCTGCATGGTTTCTGCTGAGTAGTCCGAGCTTATTCTAATTGACTCTCCTTTGTAGATGACTTTTCTTTTATCCCTAGCCACTCTTAAAATTCTCTATCTTTGGTTTTAGCAAGTTTGATTATAATATGTCTTGGTGAGTTTCTTTTGGGATCTACCTTACACAGAGTTCGACGAGCATCTTGGAGAGATATCTTGTCATCTTTCATGATATCAGGGAAGTTTTCTGCCAATAAATCTTCAACAATTCTCTCTGTATTTTCTGTTATCCCTCCCCCCCCCATTCTGGTACTCCAATCACTCGTAGGTTATTTCTCTTGACAGAGTCCCACATATTTCTTAGAGTTTCTTCTCTTTAAAATTTTTTATCTGATTTTTCTTCAAATAAGTTGGTGTCAAGTGCTTTACATTCAATTTCACTAATTCTGACTTCTACTGCCTCAATTCTGCTCCTATGACTTTCTGTTGAGTTGTCTAATTCTGAAATATTATTGCTAATCTTCTGGATTTCTGTTTACTGTCTCTCTATGAATTCTTGCAGCCTACTCAATTTGTCATTATACTCTTGAATAACCTTAAGTTCCTCTATTGCTTTGTCTGTGTGTTCCTTGGATTTTTCTGCATTTTGCCCAATCTCCTTGCTGATCTCTTAAAGAGTTCTGTATATTAATCTTTTGTATTCTGCCTCCGGTAATTCCAAGAAATTCTCTTCCTCCTGAAAATTTCTTGATTCTTTATTTTGGGAGCTTGCTGAAGCCATCATGGTCTGCCTCTTTATGTGATTTGATATTGACTGTTGTCTCTGAGCCATCAATAAGTTATTATATTTATTTTATGTCTGCTTACTGTGTCCTAGCTTCCTGTTTTGTTTTGATATGCCCAAACAGGCTGCTCACGTGAGCAATTTTGATTACTGACTCCTTTGAAGCTCTAACGTCCTGTCACCAGGTGTTAGATCTGTTACTAAGTATGTGAGCGCAGGAATCCATTTACTTTTCTTGTATGGATTTAGCTCAGGTTTCCAGATAGTCCCTAAGTGTGTGGTGCAGGCTCTCACCTACAGTCCTAAACAGGCATGAGTTATTGGTGTAGGCACAGGTATCTGGCTGCAGTAAGGGGTCATACTCTGAGCAACGCAGGGGGCTGATGGCTGCCCCTGAATGTCTGGAAGGAAAGCATGTCCCTGTTCCCTAGAACACGTAGGTGGGTGGGTTTTGTAGCTGAACTATGAGCACCCAATGCTTTGGCTGTAAGGACTGGGGGGCACCACTTATTCTTGGACCCCTGTTGTAGGTGGCTAGGTGGCGTGGGTGGAGCCACCAGTCCTCAGGTCTCTGATATGGGCAGGTGAGGAAACTGCTTAATAGGCAGAGCAGTGTCAAACATCACGAGTCTGCCACTTCACAGCTGAAACAGTTGAAGTTAGACTTCATGCACATACCCTGTTGTACTGTGGTAATGAGGGCCTACACTGTTGAAATGGACCCACACCAGTCTATTCAGGGGTGAAAGGCATTCAGAGTCCGTGGACCCCTTATGCCTGTGCCTAGGCAAAGGAGCTATACCTACTCTGAGTTCCTAGCTTAGGGAATCTGGCAGATTATTTTTTCCCTGTTTGTTAATTTGTTTCCTCTCCAAGACCGGGAGAATAGGCAGGACGTGTGATAGTTCCTACTTCCTTCCAGGGGACTCAGCAAACAATGAAGCCAGCCGAGGACCAGGTGCAGAGCGGGGAGTGGGGAGGTAAATGGGAAAGAGGTTTTTCCCAAGGGGGTGTTTTTTGATCTGCACAGTATGCCAGGCACAAGTACTTATCTTTTGACAACTGAGTGCTGCTTTTCACTGGTTCTGGATTCTCGAGTAGACTCTGCTGCTGGACCTCTTCCGATGTGGAACATGCCTCCCGAGCGCCACTGCTTGCCTCACTACGCACTCGAGCTAATCAGGCCTGAAGGGCACTGGCTCCTGCCAGCTCAGTTCTGGCAACTCCTCGCTGTTTCTGAACCATCTCTCCCCACCCCCATCACTCAGTCTAGTTGCTCAACTTTGCCTTTGATGTTCACGGCTCCTAGACTATCATATACCATCGATTCACTTTTTTTTCGGGTCTTTATTGTAAGAGGGACCACAGGAAGCATCTGACTACTCTGCCATCTTGGCCCCGTCTCTCCTTTTTTTTTTTTTTTAAATGACATTTATATTGTCTTTCTTCAACTGATCAGTCAACATTTACTGGACATACATTATGTCTGTGTATAAAGTTCTATAACAGACAGTGACAAACAATCTAGACAAAAAATCCCTTGCTAAATAGATCAAACACCTTTGTATTTGAGGACAGGGAGCAAATGGAAAAAGAGTAGATAATAAATTTTGAATTGCTGTTCATTAATTCATTCACCAAACATAGATAAGCTACTCACAATGTATGAGGAAATGTGCTAGGGGCCATGGGAAACATAAATGAATTCAAACAGAATGAGGGCAACCATTTGTCACATCTGTCCATTCTCCTCAGGTTAAATCTTGACATTCATGAGTCAGAGGGACTTTGAGCTTTAATCTTGCCTCTATTCTGTGACCCTGGGCAAGTTACCTACCATTTCTAAGTCCCAACTTCCCTATCTGCAAAGTGGAACTGATAATAGTACCTAACAATGTAAGGTTGTTGTGTGGCTTAAATAAGATGATGCATACAAATCATTTAACACCATACCTGATATAATAATATAGTCATTGAGAGCTTATCATTATTATTACTATTACTCTACCTCTGTTAATCTCACACGTTCCTTCCTTCCTCTTCATTCCTATTGCTACTATCCTAATGCAGCTTGTTACTTTATTGATTGGGAAAAAAAATATATATATATATTTTTAACCATCAAGCTAGTCAAGCAGAACAACTGACTCTTCCTTGTACATAACCTACTATTTCTTGCCTTTGTACTTTTGCTCAAATTCACTCTCTGACCCATATGCCTTTCTCCACCCACTTCACTGAAGTGGGTAAAACTTCAATCCCCCTTTCATGATCCAGCTCAAACACCTCCACAAAGCCTTCCCTGCTCTTCCACAAATGAAATAACTTTGCTCTCTTCTGAGTTTCCATTGAGTTTATAACACTATTTTCAAATATGTATAATAGCTGTTTGTGCTGACATGTAGTTTTCTTCCTAATATGTGAGAAGCTTGAGGGCTTACCCATACTGAGTGCTCAAAAAATGGCTGTAGACAGAATGAAAGAAAACCTAAGGTTACCCTGTCATATATACGTACATCAAGATACTCACTATAGACACGAGCATATGGCAATAAAGGGGAGAAAAACTTTTAATGCTTTGAAAAAGGAGGTATTCAAAACTTTTTTCCATAAGTCGTATTTATCTGAAACATCAAGACTTTTTATATTCAAATATTCCCAGGTGCCAGTTAGATGTATGATATGAAGAATGATGAGACATATAAAAAGTTTATATTTTCTGCCCCAGAACATCACTGCCTAAGACTATGGACATCACTTTGCTATTCTCTCAGTAAACAGTAAATCACGGCATATACTCCACGAAATCCTAACAGTGTCATAACGCTGAATTGGATTACTGAAAAATCTCAACAATTTGAAAACACAAGATAGAAACAGGAAATTAGAATTTGGTACTAAGCCTCATACTTAACATTTTAAAAATTAGAAGAAAAAAAAAAGATTATGTAATTGTTTTCTTACTTTTCTTTCCTACTGCCCAGCTGGCGAGCGGTGTATTGATCCCCATAGTCAATTAGTACCAGCTGTCTAGAAAAGATATTCACTTTGTTGCCTATAAATAAATCTTCCAAGCGCAGGTCATCATATTTGGTCCGCTTTAAAAATGTACGATGATTCTTTACATCATGCTAGAACCAAAAACATTAACACAACAAAACAGGTACTTATCAACAGAGAATATTAATCTTATTATAAACTAGAAATAGTTCTCAATTCTGCCTTACAAAAGTTGCATTCTCTTTCTTTTTAGCCACAAATACAGTTCTTAAATTTTTTATATTATAACTTCTGTATTTCCTAGTCCAATCCAAAAAAAATAAACATTTCTTATTAAAAACTTAATACTAAAAAAAATCCTAAATTCAAAAATATTTCTTTATTGCTAAATCACATTAGCAAGTTAGTGGCTACAAAATCCCAGAGAAAGACTGCCCCACATCCAAATCTCTGCTTCTTGCCTACACAAAATCCCAAAATCAAATAGATCCATTTGTTAAAGGGGTTGCCAATGAAACGACACACAGAAATAAGCAGCACCCTCTTAGCTCAATCTTCTTCAATTTGAATTTTTGTAGCAATAAGTTTTCAATAATGATGAAATATTTACAGCATGTCATAAATGATAATCTTTATCTATAACCACTTACTATTCTTTAATCCAAAACATGTACAATTCTACTTCAGTTTTCTAATGAAAAAAAATTAATTCCTATTTTTGACATTAAAAATAAAGGTACAGAGCAATCTTCTTGTATTGGAATTATAATGAATATGAATACAAACATACATACATACATATACACCACACACACACACGTTGTTTTAAAGCAACTGTATAAAAGGCAACCTTACTCTTCTCCGACATCCTACCTTCACCCCCTTTGCCCACTTTCAAGTAAGAAAGGCTCATTTACCATTTCAACAGATCCATCCCCTGGGTAAAATAAAAGCTCATAACGTCGAAGAAGTGAAGCATTTGGATCATACCACTCTGCAATGAAAACATATCTTTCACTGTGATTCTGCAAAGAAAGATAGAAGAATCTTAACAATGATATAAAATATAAGCACTCTTGTATTAGTCATATGAAATGAAAGCAAGAATCACCAAATATTTGAGACAAACTTGCTATTACGTATTTGTTGTCTTGAATTATTCTGCTTTTCAATAATATCAACAGTCATCAGCACATTCTCATAAATGGTTCCTTCTAATTTCTCATTAAATATTTTTAGATATCTCAGAGATATGGACTGCTTCATACTCCACAGCCATCCAATCATCCTGAGTAAATTAACATTTTCCTTTAATCTGACTACGGTAATAATTCAAAGTCCTTCTGATAGCAAGTTTACATATAAAAAAGACCATCGATAAAGTAATATAAAGAAATATTTCTGAGGGGATAGCTCTTAATTACATAAAGTTTTAACTTTCCTACATTTAAGAATCTAGCAATATTAAGAGTATTTTTCCACTATAATTACAGTAAATATCCTTTCCTTAGTAATTTCATTTTTATAGAAATAATAACAGAATGTGCTAGTCTGGCAATGAATTTTCTTGGCTTTCGTTCACCTGGTAAAGTCTTTATGTTACCTTCACTTTTTGGAGGATATTCTGCTAGTCTGGTCCTCCAAAAAGCAAACATCAAGACAGGATTAAACATGCAAGAATTTTAATAAGAGAAATTTCTGTCAAAGAAAATAAGGAGGGAGCCAGGGAAGGCTGGGAAAGTTGACAGACTGGAATGCAAATCTGACCCTGACTCAAGGAAAGAGGGAAGGAAGGTTAGATGGAATCATCCTAGAATGCTGTACAATCTAAGTAAGGTTTTGCAAGGTCATCTGCAAGTGTTCCAGCCAAAGTTTGTCATCAGAAGAGTCCCTTGTCTTCCAAGGATGGGCCTGCTTTAGTATCCCTGCTCCCCTCAGTAACTGGCTGGGAGCTGCCCTTGGGAAGCATAGCTGAGGTACAAAAGCAGCAATGGATTTCGAGCACAGCAGCTGCAGCACTTGGTCAATTAAGCTCCCTCTAGTTGGAGGTCGGCCAGGTTCATTCTTATAGCCATCAAAGAGAAGAAAATTTTTTAAAAAATAAGTCAAAGACTGGCTCTTTTTCCTTGACTATTAAGCAGGATTTGCCATTACATATCTTAAACTATAACCCAGGCCCAAAGTTCCTTCATTACAATAAACAAATAAAGGAATAAGGAAGAAAGGCATCTAGGAATTTTGTTGTTAATTCTGGAATTTCCATCTGATTCTCTAGTTGGGGTATATGGATGAGGCCTTTTTATGCTAATAATTCACTTCCAAATTCTAATGGTAGAAGTTGTATGTCTAGTTATGTTTATGATCATGCTCATAAACTATAATGTAGATGGGTAGTTTCTAAGACGTCTATTTTCTCACAATCATCCAAACAGTCATATTTAAGCAATACTATTAGTCAAGAGAAAATAAATGTAAAATAAGAGACCTACTATGACATTTGTAAAAGTCTTTCTTCATATATTTTTCCAACCAAACATAACTGCCCACATAGCATTCTACAACCACCAAAAATATCCTTCAAAAAGTGAAGGTAAAATAAAGACTTTTCCAGGCAAACAAAAGCCAAGAAAATTCATTGCCAGTAGAACTGCATTAAAAGAAATTCTTTTTTTTAATTGTACTTTGGATGAAGGTTTACAGAGCAAACTAGCTTCTCGTTAAACAATTAATACACATATTGCTTTGTGGCATTGGCTGTGAACCCCACGGCATGTCAACACTCTCCCTTCTCGACCTTGGGTTCCCTATTACCAGCTTTCTTGTCCCCTTCTGCCTTCTCATCCTTGTCCCTGGGCTGGTGTGCCCATTTAGTCTCATTTTGTTTTATGGGCCTGTCTAATCTTTGGCTGAAAGGTAAATCTCAGGAATGACTTCATTACTGAGCTAAAACGGTGTCTGGGGGCCGCACTCTTGGAGTTTCTCCAGTCTCTGTCAGACCAATAAGTCTGGTCTTTTTTTTTTTTTTTTGAGTTAGAATTTTGTTCTACATCCTTCTCCAGCTCTGTCTGGGACCCTCTATTGTGATCCCTGTCAGAGCATTTAGTGGTGGGAGCCAGGCACCATCTAGTTGTGCTAGACTCAGTCTGGTAGAGGCTGTGGTAATTGTGGTCCATTAGTCCTTTGAACTAATCTTTCGGTCTCTGGGAACATCTAGCTTAACTGGCATAACACAGTTTACAAAGAAAATGTTCTACATTCTACTTTAGTGAGCTGTGTCTGGGGTTTTAAAAGCTTATGAGCAGCCATCTAAGATACTCCACTGTTGCATTAACAGAAATTCTAAAGGCAGTTCTACAGGAAGAAGAAAAATGATCCCAGATGATTTATGAAACCAAAGAAAGGAATGATGAATAGGGAAGTGTAAATATATGGGTAAGTCTACATAAATAGTGTCTACACAAAACAATATAATGTCTTGTGGAGTATAAAGCAAGCAGAATTTGAATGCATGGAAATAATAATATAAGGGGTGTGAGAAGTAAACAATGTTTTTCAAATTATATAAAGCAAAGAAAGTATCTCCTACATTAGTTGCTCAACCCATTGTCCTGCTCTAAATCAAATGTGAATGAATGTTAGTGAACAAGAATCTCCCTTAAAATAATGGACAAACAAATCAGGGATGTTCCATTCAATTTTTCACTCTGTTCTACTAGAATGACTTTTCTTCTCCTATTTTTTGTGAAGCACATAATAAATCAGATGGAGAGTACAAATTCTTGCCTTTTGGGGAGCTTAGGCAAAGTCACAGGGCTTTTTTTATCAATAAAAAAATTAAGTAACAATTTTCTTCTTAAATTTTATAACCCATTTGTTACACACTAATAATTAGTATTTTAACTCAAGCTTCTCAAAGGAAAAGTACCACTGACAAAGTTATAAATTGCATAAATCAACATGAAATTACTGTTGCAAACTGTAGATGTGAAAATTAAACCCTGTATTTTGGCTTGGCACAGAAATCAAAGATGTTGTGGAAAACAACAAAGCCTTTGTATTCTATAGTGAATGTTATAGATTGAATTGTGTCCCCCAAAGATGTGTGTCAACCTGGCTAGGCCATGATTCCCAGTATTGAGGGGTTGTCCACCATTTTGTGATCTGATGTGATTATCCCATGTGTTGTAAATCCTGCCTCTATGATGTTAAATGAGGCAGGATTAGAGGCAGTTATGTTAATGAGGCAGGACTCAATCTTCAGCATTAGATTGTCTCGAGTCAATCTCTTTTGAGATATAAAAGGGAGAACTGAGCAGAGAGGAGAGGGATCTCATGCTACCAAGAAAGAAGCAGCAGGAGCAGATCATGTCCTTTAGGCCTGGTGTCCCTGTGCTGAGAAGCTCCTAGACAAGGGGAAGATTGATGACAAGGACCGACCTTTCCCCAGAACTGACAAAGAGAGAAAGCCTTCCTTTCCCCAGAACTGACAGAGAGAGAAAGCCTTCCCCGGGAGCTGGTGCCCTGAATTCCGACTTCTAGCCTCCTAGACTGCGAGAGAATAAATTTCTCTTTGTTAAAGCCATCCATTTGTGGTATTTCTGTTACAGCAGCACTAGATAACTAAGACAGTGAATATATTTAAAGTCATATTAGACATTATACTTGTATTCTGTATGTTCAAAAAGGCAGGTATCATATTTTACCATTTGGCTTCTCTAAGACGTAAAATTAGTTCTATAGCTATAAGTTTCCAGGACCACGCAGGGACATAAGGATCTATGTGAATGTTTGTGAAGTGGGAGTAAAATCTAAAGAACCTGCCTCCAATTTCACAAAGCAAAGCAGAAATATTTTATATTTTATTAAAAAGGGACATATATGTACTGATAAGAAAGCATTTCACTCCAAGTTTCCTCTGGTATTAAAAATAAAACACAGAGAATTTTCTGAATAAATTATCTAAATCTCCATTAATGGCTCAACAGTAAAGTAAAATATCTACTTAAAGAATCTTTTGAAGTAATGTATAGTAATAACCCTGGAGGAAAAGCAGGAAAAATTAAAAATCATACTCACTGTCTAACTACATATCAATTACAAATTCAAAAGAAATGAAATATTAATATGAATGGAAAAGTACCTCCTCAGTTCTTAAGAACTCGGGGTGAAGGATGAGTTTGTGTGTGTATGTGCATTTGTGTGTACGTTAAGTGAAGATGAACAGCTTTGAATAATACATGGTAGTAATGTAAAATTAACTTTTCTTTATTACTTTTCACCAATAAATCACAAGTTCCTAAAGAAGAGTTTGGATAGTACATTGCTCCAATGTAATGGAGCTGCTTAACAAGTAAAAGTCCCTCATTCTTCCAGGGACTTAGTATCCTGGTGAGGCCTCAAGAGAGAATAGGGAAGTTAAGACACGTATCAACTCAGATATACTGACACAAGTGTCACTATCTTTAAGGACTAAACCCACTGCCACTGAGTCGATTCCGACTCATAGCAACCCTATAGGACAGAGTAGGACCGCCCCATAGATCTTCCCCTGGATTCAAACTACTGACCTTTTGGTTAGCAGCTGAGCTCTTAACCACTGTGCCACCAGGGCTCCATCTTTAAGAACTAAACACTTAAAATTCTCAAAAGGAAAGGAAGGAGGGAGGGGTGCCATTACTGTTTGTTCATTTTAGGGCACCATCATTCACTTTCATGCATCAGTAGAACTCACTGTTTACATCTGACTGTCTGTACTCATGACTCCTTTAGTGTTCTCTAAACTTTTTAGCTACTATTTTAATCTTTATAAATCTTACCTCACACAACAGTTAGAACCAAATACTAAATTAAGCAGGCAGAGAACAGACGGAAAGGGAGCTAAGTAAATAGTACGTCAGGTATTTTAACATATAATCTCAGTTAACCCTCACAACAAACCTGTAATGGAGGCGTCAACAAGGAAACAGAGGTTCAGCGAGGTTAACTGTAGAGATCACACAGATCACACAGCTAGTAGGGGCCAGAG